TTATTATATATATATATATATATATATATATATATATATATAATGTGAAAATATCAAGAGTTTTACTATTGCGCTGATTAGCATTTCAGTTTTCTGTTTCTGTAGCGATTGCAAGACTGATTTCTGTCTTTGAAATAATTCGGTTATTTTCAATGGGTATATTCAAAGTAAAAAAGATTTGACTGTGATCATGAATTCAGCTAGATGTTACGAGACGGAAATTAAGCCATTTCGAACATTCCAAAATTCTTTACCACCATTATTTGTTGTAACCAGTTTTGAGGGGATGATTCAATTTCAGCAACTTTCCCTCGTTTTTCAAATTGAGAGCTGTAGACAAGGTAGTTTTCCAGAGGCACTTTGAGAAGATACGTCATAGGTGATGATCCGATAGTGTTGGTTTTATTTGCTTATTCTTCCGTGAAATATTTGGATAGTTTTTTTCTGAATTGGCATTACTTCAAAATATCACTGATATGATACTTTAAGTGGAATTTAGTATCACTCGAAATTATCAGTAGATTTAGATTTTTTTTCCATGCTATCCTTGGCAAACCATTCTCACCTCTTATAATTTCAGAATCACTCTTTTTTCAGCAATTAATACATATTGCTCATGGTTAAAACTCATGACATCGACAATTTTAACATTTAAAAGAAATTGTGACCTATTAATAGCTTATCAGTTATCAACAATCAAATTAATCAGGATGATATGATAGATGACATTTTCGAGAATAAAATGAACTGGTGCAATTCTACTGTAAATGCCTTTCTAAGGAGGACTTAATTTAAAACAATTCCAATAGGCTTTTCAATATTTCAATATTCTTTCCCTGACATGGAATTGTTGCATTCTTAAAATATTCGCTACACTAATGTCAAAGCATATCAATATTTCAGTTAGTAAACATTCATAAAACAGAATAGTCAAATTTTCAATCATTTTTATTCCTTGGAATCAAAAAATTAATCGATAATATATACGTTTAAAAAAAAAGATAACAACAAAAGTATAAAAGTTTTTAATAGTTAAAAATCTAAAAAAGAATTTATTGCAATCATTCGATTTAAATGGCTTTTATGAATTCATTAATGAATCCATATTATGTACATTTTTGTCTTTAATTATAAGTAATTTAACAAAATTTTCCTCTTAAATTTCAATATTCCTTTTTTGCGGTCAATTAGTGAGATTATTCATTCGAATTTAAATGAATGCTTCGATTTTTGTCATTCTTTTAATTATATTTTTTTTTTTTTTTGTTAAAGCAAAACTTTATTCTTTACCCTTTAAATGTATTGTTATGAATATTTTCTATATTAATAATTATCAAGATTTTTTAATTGAGAAATAAATAGGGTAAGTTGAAAAATTTTAATATATCCAAAAAGGTTCAGCTAATTCATCTTAGCATTGTTTGTTGCAAAAATATTAATTATTGCTATGATTAGCTAAGTGATTAGCTAACAAAAGAAACAGCTAAAAACTTTGCAAAAAAAAAAAATAGAATTATTTCATCATAAATGACTTTATATTAATTATGAATTAAATAGAAACAAATAAAAGATAAGAAAAAAAATGTAATTAAAACAAATTAATCATTCATTTGATAATCCAATGTTATCCATTTAAATTCAAATATTCACATATCTAGAAAATATAATAAATTCATGAATAACTACAAAATACAATAGTAATTTCATAAATATTTTCATGAAATTTTTATGAATTTTGTTGATAACATTAAGGAAAAATTATTTCTAATGCATAATGTTAGTTTGAATATAAAATGAGGCTCAAAAAGTTTTTCAAATGTTATAAACTTTAAAATTAGAATTTTAATTCGTACTATCAATTCCTATATTATTTCAAAAGCTGTATCAGGTGAACATTCAAAAGACTTCAACAAATACAAATTCATTTATGTTTACAAAAGATAATTGTTGAAGATAACTAGCGTGAATGTGAAATTTTTTAGGATATAATTAAATTTCGGGGAACTAGTTTTCTAATTAATTATAAGATCTTTTTAAAAGTGCTAATGAACTTTTGGGGAATGTAAAAATGAAGTTAAAAAGAAAAATCATTCAATCAGCCTTTGTTAAAGCAATACATTTTTGAATCAAGAAGTCATAGCGAATAATTTGAAATTTTAACAAAATTTATTTCGTTTTTTTTTAGTTTTCAATTAAACAATATTAAAGGAAAAGATAAAGAGAAAAAAGAGGTACTTTGTGGGAAAATAAATTTAAAAAATATGAGTTAGCTAATAATTTTATGAATACAAATTAAATTATTAAAATCATTGACATTTCTGTTGTCAATTAATATTCGTATCAGAAAATATCAAAAATGTTTTGTTTTTTATTAATATTATTTTACTTTTATCAAATTATGTCATTTCGATTCCAAAAAGAAAGTTTCAAACAAAAAAGAAAAAAAAATTATTTTTCTTAAATATTTTGTTTCATATTTTGATCATAGTTACAATGAGTGTTTGTTTATCTTTATCACTAATGATAAATCATTAATTTAGAAAAGAAAAAAGAAACAAAACTTCTTTCTTTGATCTTTTTACAAAATATATGAAATTTTATTAACTAGCTTTACTGGATTTTTCTATTTATATCATTGTGAAATTTAATAAATAATTAAGAAAAATTGAAAAGTTTAAAAAAATTTTTTTGCTGAAGTATACTAAAGTAATATATCAATGAATGTAAGTTGTTTAACGCCTGGATGGGAAATGTGCATTTAGCGCCTGGAAGGGGAATGTGTATTTAGCGCCTGGATGGGGAATGTGCATTTAGCGCCTGGAAGGGGAATGTGTATTTAGCGCCTGGATGGGGAATGTGTATTTAGCGCCTGGAA